GCCGCCTGCGGAGGCCCCGCGCCCGGGCGTGCGCGCCCTCGCCCGACCTGAAGACCAGAGTCCCACCCGCAAAACCCAGGCCTCGCCCTCAAATGGCCTCTCCACAAAGTTTCATAAAATGATTTCCATTTGTATTTGTGTTGATCATGGACCACCTGACCACACACTTCGGTATTCACAGATCGTCACCTTTTAAAATGTCCTGATTTGAGCAGATGCAAAATTGGTCATGACCCTTTTCTTTGTGTAATTCAAACATATTTTTCAAACATGAGCTGTTAAGTATTTGCATTGATTTTCGCTCGGACGCCACCACCATGTGCATGTCTTTGAAGGCTGAGTGAGCACCCCCTTTCGTTCAGTGGGTCCACTGGATGGAGCTGTCTCCAGCAATGGGATGACACTGCAACTTTCATCAAACTGCTTGTGACCCGCCTCACCTACGTCAATTACATGTTTATTTAAGCAATTAAAATAATTGATTTTAATGACGACTTTGCGTTTTTAATTTCTTTGAGTCTTCAGGGATATTGATGACCTGAAAAGGTGGTAGCAATAATTCTGCAGACGCTATTTTAAATCAACTGCTACTGCTAAGCTGGTGAACTTGGGAGAGGATATATATGTAAATAATTATAATCTCAGCTATTTTAGGATGACAGTCTTCAGTTCTAAAACTCTCTAGCTGGGAGATCACGATTTGATTCCCAGTCAGGACACATGCCTGGGTTGGGGCTCCATCCCCAGTAGGGAGAGTGCAGGAGGCAGCCGATCAATGACTCTCTCATCACTGATGTTTCCCTCTTTCTCCCTCTCCCTTCCTCTCTCTGAAATCAATAAAGATATATTTTTAAAAAATAATAAAGAAACGCTCTAATCTACAAATAGTAGTAGTTAACTCAGGTAAACTGCTAAATATGTAAGGGATACTTGCAAAGGGAATATAGCAGCCAAAAAATGGGAGAAGCCAGGAACTCCTTCCAGTTTGCAAAATTGCTTACATGAATGAAGAAAGCATCATGTTAATACAGTCAGATGTCTGCAGTAACTTTTACCTTCCACATTCTATGCCTCTCTTTTCTTCTAAATGGGGGACATGCATTTGTTACTAGGTAGCAGAGGTACATCCCATAGATGTATTTTAAAAATGCACATAGCCTAGACCTACTAACTTAAAAAAACCCACAATTTATATATATATATATATATATATATATATATATATATATATATATATTTATAACATATAATCCATGTAATACATGTTGCCTATATATATTCACTGTTCATTTTTAAAATTTATTGTTAAGTAGAAGTGTACATAGTGAAATAAAGCCAATCTGAAAAATCCTATTCTAATTAATGGAGCAGGACAGTTTGTTTATCTAACTGAAAATCAAGGAGATTCAGAGCCACATAATCTGATATGCCAGCCATTTAGTGGTCAACATGAAGAGGACACCCGAATCGAAGCTGCTTTTCTGTCACTGTATATTGCTCCAGAAATTTATCATACTTAAAATGGTGCGTAAGGTTGTAAACTTCAACCTCAACACTCTCCTCTCACTTATTATCAAATTGGAATGTGGATGGGTGTGATAACAGATGGGGATATGGTTAAAAAGTGATTTCAGCCCTGGCCAGTGTGGCTCAGTTGGTCGAGCATCATCCCATGCACTGAGGGGTGACCAGTTTGATTCCGGGTTGGAGCACATGCCCAGGTTGCAGGTCAATCCCCAGTATGAGTGCAAGCGAGGGGGGTGGGAGGGAGTAGGGGGGCTCTCAACATCTCTCCCTCTCCCTCTAGAATCAATAAAAACATATTTTAAGTGATTTAAATACAAAATGCAAAGCAACTTCAAACCTGGTGTTCAAATATAATTTCAAACTGTAATATTTGGCAAAATCTTATGGTTACTTTTGATAATCTCTAAGAATGGTGCAATCCTTTATTCTGCATTTTTACTTGACTTAAATTATAAAGAGTATGTAGTAAGGCAAACCAAAAATTACCCTAAATCTCCCATAGAAATCATCCCTAATCTCACTTTGAATATGAAGACTAGCAAATTACTTAAATAAAAATGCTGGGTACAGAGGATGCTTTTTCACAAGGCACTTCATCGATCATTTATCCAAGAATATGTATCATAGGACTTTTAGATAAACAGGTTGTTAGAATCAGCATTTTTTCCAGTACAATGACACTGTGAATTATGTAACGGCTAATGAACTGCTAGCCCACAAGGAAAAAACAAAGAATTCTTTTGGGGGGGAAAACCCTCCCTCCCCCAGTCAGCACCAGGGACTGGGAAGGGAGAACTGGCCTGAGGTGTGCCCCCAGCAGCCCTGCTTTCTGCCCTCTCCTCCTTTGGAGTGGGGTAGTATCTCTTCCTAATTACAAGGCATTAACAAGGAATATTTTTGGTTGCATTCATGTTGGCAGAGGTCATCAGGAGGACATGACTGCTGGCTGACTTGCAGGCCGGACCTGGGCGATCAGAGGCTCCTCACCCACACCTGTCCTTGGAATGAATGTTCCGCCCACTGTTCCCATTCGAGGCGCTGTTTCAAGGACACAGCCTTGAGAGAGTAATGCCTTGGTAAGACCACCTGGATGGTGTGTGACTGAACCCACTTAAGGCCTCTATATAAACCTAAGATTATGGGGGGCAGGGGCCAAGATTTACTCATCTTGTGGCCACCCCAGACAAGCCTCATATGCAAGTCCCCTTGTTTATTAAAACTGCCACCTATCAGTGTGGAGTGGTCTGCCTCTCTCTCTGGTCTCTCCTTGCTCTCCATGTATGGCAGCCAGTTTGTGAACCAACAGTTCAACCCAAGAATAAGTATCTTCTCTGCATCGTAATTGCAGGGTTTGTTATTCAGAAAACCAATTCCAGGAAAGTAGCAGGTATTGTCCAAGAAAAATATTTTTTTTAAGTGGTAATGCTCAAATATTTGTAGACATTGGCTAGTGAATTCAATAGCTTTTTCTACTGATCTTCATCTTGTTCTTATATTTATAGCACCATTATATTTTCATTGTTTTTAAACATATTATGTCAGCAAGGAAGGCTTTGAACTGTGTGAACCCTCACTTGGCAGGTAAATGGAAACAGATCATGACTAAGTGACCAGTATTAAGTCTGATGCAGTAGAGGGTTCCAAAGTCTCTCTGTGAATTTAGGAAAAATACAGCAGGCGAAACATCCCAAATAATACTCCAGGGCCACAGGAAATCTGGTTATAAATATTTGAACCTTATTTCGAGTTACTTTGTATACATTTTCATGCTAGGAGAAAAAACTCCAAAATACTAATATATATGGTTCTGTTTCCCTACTAACTTTATCTCCAGTAATAACCACACTCTGATTTTCAACCACTTATCACCTTTTAAATACTGTTATGATGCAGCAGAATTGCTCTTTTCAGTGCAGAGCAGCCAGCTATATGTACATGTGTGCGCTGCTTCTAAAGAGATCACGCACCTTGCTTCCTGCAGATTGGGTATCCATGGAGACTGCAAAGAGTTTCCAAAGAAACGCTGCCTAGATTTCTCACCATGCCAGCCTAAAAGGCTTTCTTCAAATAGAAGCTGACATTTGAATTAAGGGGAAAGGCATCACGTTCCACACCAAAACCTATCAGTACAGAATAGTGAGCAGGTTTGCACCACAGTCTTCCCTTCCTTGCCATTCAATGGTTGAGCATTAATTAAAGACCAGTGGGCCAATCGTTTGCCCTATGAAAGGGAAATGAAGGGAAGAAACCAGGTCTGATGTGTTCCCTACATAAGGTCTAGTGACCCCAGCAATACTCTTACTATTATCTCACTTGGTGATACACATTCCTGTCATCAAGGTCTGAGTATCTGTCAATCAGACACGGGAAAATACAGAGGAAGACAAGTAGCATTTGAAATGGTATGCCCCAAATTATATCTCCAAATGACAAACAGAACTGGGGGAAGGGCCAGAACCTGTTAGGTTTATAAATCCATGATCAGAGGCCTAAAGCAGGTCATAGTGAAATTTAAAAAGTGGCTCCGGAGAGTGATTACCTGAATGAAGCAGCATTTCCTCTGAGGAGAGAATGCATTACAATGCATTCTTTCTCCTGGATCCTTATCACTAAGCTGAAAAAGCCTGTTCTTAAAAGCAATTATTACTAAATTTTCTATCGTTCAATGAATCTGGCCCTTGGGTATGTAGTATATAAATTCAGATTTAAAATCTCCAATAAATACTCCAAAGTTTAAGGTTTTTAAAATGTATTTAGTTCATAAAAAGACACCCCCTTCCAAGTCTTCATCCATGCATTTAATTTTCACGACCACATCCTGTTCTGTGGCTTCTTTTATGGCCCAAATTGTATCACGTTTCTTGCTGGAGTCCAAGCAAATTGAAAATAGACTCACATCTGGGGAAATCAACAGACCAACAGTAGCAAACACAAGACCATTCAATGGAAACAAAATGTTTGTTACAGGAGTGCAACAACGTAGAGAGCATCTCAGGAGTGAGGCTCACTGGCGGCAGCAGCTATGTTAGCGTTTCTTTCTGCCTCAAGTTCAGAAACAAGCTGGAGTATCTCGGGGTGGCTGAATTTTCCTGCAAGGCAAGAAGACGGAAAAAGATGAGAATAACGCCAATTTCTCCAGCTCGATCCCAGGCCTTTGTCAGGGGCTCCGTTCTGTGATGTGACCCGTGCTTTACTCCAACGCAGAACGCAATTCCAGGTCCCTCCTGATTTTGGAGAAGGCCCAAAGGGGACCACCTGGAGCTTATTCTCCATCACCCCAGACGCCACTGCACATACAGATGAGAATCGGGCAAAGAACTGTCATTAGAGCTGGGAGTAACGTTCCAGGCAGCCCGTGAATGAGGAACCACAGGGAAACGCGGGAGGAAAGCACTGCAGTAAAATTTAACCTCAGCTGAGTCATGGGCACAGAGCGCTCTTTCCAGGCTCAAGTTTCTTCCTCAATAAAATGTGGAGTTTAAACTAGATGACTCCTCCAGCTCCCACATTTTAAATTTTACTAGTATTTTCATGTTTCATTTTTTGTTTTTCATTGAGAATGTGTCAAAATAGAAGACAATCATGTTAAAATGCAAAGCACCACATACATGACTTAGTTGTATTTTAGCTACATTACTGGTGAAATATGCTATCTTAGAACCCAATCATTGCTTATAACACAGCTGGCAACCCTTTTCTGTAAAGAGGCAGTAAATATTTTAGGTTCCGTGAACTTATACGTCTCTGTTGCAAATTACTCTGCTGGTGTAGCACAAAAGTAGTGTAAACCATATGTAAAGTGTGGCGGTTTCAATAAAATGTGACACAAACAAGTAGAGCAGGCCGTTTTGGCCCGTGGGCCATAGTTTGCTGACCCCTGGTTTACGACTTTATCCTATTTCACTGAAGTCAAACATTTTTGAGCACCACCTACATCAAAGACAGACGAGACAAGGCTGGTCTTGGTCCTCAAACACCTTATTATAGGATGGGGTAAGCAAGTGGGGATTTGGGAGGAGACCCAAGGAGGAGCATCACTAGGGAGAATGCAAGTCAGATGTAAACCAGTACAGCAAGCTCTAGACCAAGTGCAGGTTGAGCAAAACAAAGGGAACACTTAATTCTGACACAGAGATTTAGGAAAGGAAACCAGACAGACCAGTGGTCTTAGGCTGCAGAGCTTTATAGGCCACTCAAAAGTGTCAGGATTTTATTTCTTAGGAAGAGAACAGCCACAAGAGTTTTAAAAACAAACATGCGACGATGCTTGTATCTACAAAGGAGGAGACACTGACACGCAGGATGAATGGCGAGCCTGGCGGGCTCAGTCAGGCAGTTATAACAATGGCCCCACACAAATAACGAGGCCGTGCCTAGTGCAGACGCAGTCGGCTGGAAGAGAAGGAAAATCGAATCAACTTCATTACAATGCAAATCATATTTTGGAGCTTAGTCTGTGATCTGGGACCTTCCTCTATTTGGTGGGGCACAGGAAGGTCCCGAGAGGTCCCATAAAGGCCATCTCTAACCACTCTCAGGGGAGATGGAGGCTGAGCTGAGCCTGAGGAGCTCCCAGGGGAGAGAGGTGGCGTTTTACTCCAGGGAGGGACAGGAACACCAGCCATCACACATCCAGGGTACTTAGCTCCTCACTCTGGAAACTGTACCAAAACGAAGATAGCTAGGGCTCATTACCAGGAATTATTCCAAGCAACTCACGTGAATCAACCCACTATATCCTCAAACAACTCCATAAAGTAGATTCTGTAATTATCTGCATTTTCAAAATAAGAAAACAAAGGCCCAGAGCTAGGTTAAGTAATTTATTGGAGATTACACAGATTTTATGTGGCAGAACCAGAATTCAAACCCAAACAGTCTTGACTCCAGGTCTGTGCCATGACGACACCGTACTGGTGACTTCAGCCATTTGGGGTTTTCTTGTTTTAAATCCCTATTTCTACCTCTACCTCACAAGACCTTACACCTATAAAGCACTTATAGATCATAGTGCACTTTTATATACATTACCTCTCCTGAATCTCAAAACCAACCTATGACGTAAGTAGGGTAAGTATTATGATGTCCATTTTTCAGAAAGGACATAGCAAGGTCAGGAGGCTGCCCAGGGGCACACGGCCAGTAGGTGTGAATGTGAGCCTGGCGCTCAGACTCCAGGGGACAATGCTCTCCTGCACCAGGCCAGCTTCCCCGTGAATCTCACTACTTTCTCTTTAGATGCTTCAGATGGAAAGGTCAGAACTGGGGAACAACAGTGGATTCACCAGCATGATGTTGTTACCTACACTAGGAGGAAGCCAAATGATAACGACGCTCATTGAGAACAGCACTGAGTACCTGCTGTGGAATCATAGAAGTCCTGCAGTCTCCCAGGTTTGTTCTCGAGGTCTTCATATTCAGATGCCTGAAGAATCATCTCACACTGGTCCAGCTGCTTCACAAATTTGGCCTCTGCACTAGATTGGGTCTCATACTCCTGAGTAGAGAGACAATTAGAGCAACATGATTAGGGCTCATGATAGAGTGATCCAGGAAAATTCTGATTCTGGTACCTGACATCAGAGTCACAGCTAAAAACACATTCTGAACCGGCCACATTTCTCCACTGTATACAAACCCTTCATGGAGAAGCGTCACCTGTAATCTCATAGCTAACACCATCACTCCACGCAAGAGGGACGTGCTCACACCTCCGTGTGCCCCAGCCAATGCCTCGGAAGTCTCGTTCGTTCATATTGGCACCGCAAGCATTTTCCTTCCTGTAGCTTGTCAAGATTGCTATTCTTCACACCACCTACGTGGTGTAGGTCTTTTTTAACTTCAAGCTAATATTTTATCTCATGCCTCTGAAATAATCTCTCTCTCCATTTAATGTTTGGTTTCCTTTTCCTTCAAGTAAATGTCTAGCTTTCTCACTTAACTTTGGTTACCACTTCACCCTTGGATTCTCTGTCCCTGCTTAGTTCCTAAAGAGGGGCGGCTCAGTCCCTCTGGGTTATGACTGGAGAATGCGGCCGGGATCTGCGGGTTCCTCACGCAGTGGCGTGCGTGCCTGTGCTGGTGGCAGGGAGGTGGCGAAGGCAGTGGACGGGCAGATTTTACCTTTCTTCTTCCCACTGGTCCCTCCCTCCTCGGTGCAGGCCTGAAACAAGAAGCTACAGGAGGTCTGTTTCTTAGCATGACACATTTCACACAACCACAAGTTCCAATTAATACGATATAGAATCATTCTTCTATTAAAACCAATGTTCCCACTGGTTTCCCGGCAAAGTTCTCATTTGTATTCCACCCCAGATGTGTTCAATAATGAACCTGTCATGCTTTCTTGGCATAGTGTGCTGTGAATCGCTGAAGGTTTCTTAGTTTTTATTAAATGTCTTATTCTTAAGAGAGCTATTTGAATTTTGAAAGAGCTTAAAATTGTCCAGGAAAATCATTTTAATATAAAACCAAATACATTTTGTCTTATTTCAAAGGTACTTAGAAATAGTTAATTTAATTTAAATGTTTATTTTCATTTATATTTAATAAACTTAAATTCATTATTTAACAAAAATAAATGCAGTGCTCTAAGCACAGCAGTTCAGGATTTTTCTCTGTTGAAAGTGAGAAAAAAGAATACAAGACCTTTTGGGAAAGAACACATTTTATAAGAAATTCTGGCGAAATTACACATTTCGTTTTTTTAAAAATGTACCTTTATTGATTTCAGAAAGAGGAAGGGAGAGAGAGAGAGAGAGAGAAACATCAAGGATGAGAGAGTCGTCACTGATCGGCTGCCTCCTGCACCCCCCCCACTGGGGACCGTGTCCACAACCCGGGCATGTGCCCTGACCGAGAATCGAACCGCGATCTCCTGGATCCTAGGTTGATGCTCAACCGCTGAGCCACGCCCAACCGGGCTACACATTTCTTTTAAAAATATAAATCACTGGGTTTTCTCTTAAAACATAATGGTACTGACATTCCAACCAGGAGGGAGGGCAGGGAGAAGCACACTGCAGACAGAGCTCTAGCAGTGAGGGGGAGCCCCGGCGCCTCTGGGGAGCTTCCTGCGCACAGCTCCTAACGGCAGGCTGGGGAACTGAAGGGAGGGCAGGCGAGAGGTAAGAAGCTGACGGTGGAGGAAGAGCAGCTCCTGAGAGGCCTTGTGGTTTATGCTCCAGTCTCAGCGTATCCTGCAGCTACTGGACATCACTGAAAGTTTCCAGCAAGAAGTGTGATGGTCAGGTCTGCACTTTGGAAAGAGCATTCCAGCTTCAGTGGAGACAATGGCCAGACCGGAAGGCTTTGAGACTTGGTAGCACTAGCGGAGAAGTTATGAGAATCTGGCAATGAAGATGGGGAAAAGTGGGCAGATTTGAGAAATCTTAAGGATGAAGCAGCAAACCAAAGCGTGAAAGTGACTGAAAGGGAGAGTCCTAAGTGACTTCCTAGTTTCTAGCCTGGGAAACTAGGAGCAAAACAGAAGAAACAGGAAAAAAAAAGTTATAGAGCAAAGGAATAGCAAAACGAAAAACCTCAGGGGTAACATTTACAACAAAACCGAGGGTCATAACATTACCAAGAATCGTACAATATACGAGTGGGGACAAACCTCCTCCAGCCATAATCAGCATGTTAGGGAAGAATCAGAGAAGATTACGGGCAACAGGGCTTCCGATGGACCTAAGAATAGGAGAATCTCTAAATAGACAACAGGTGTTCACAGAATTATCAAAACGTAAGAACAGAGGCCAGCACTGACGGAACCTTGCCGACCCCACTGCAGCCGATAGAAGCCCAGCCCTGGTGAATTTGCCAACCTCACTTGCTGGGGCTCCTTCCAGCTCAAGGCCCCAAAGGAGGAGAAACTGCTGGGAGTGAAATCAAAATCGAGTGGGACAAACATAACAGAGATGAAGAAAAGGAAAAGTCCAGATCAAAGTAGGGAAGGGGAACAAAGCCAGGAAATCTCTGAAAGTAAACCACCATATTTTTAACACTACGCTAAAACAAAACAAAAACAAATAAACAAAATAAAAGAGGAAGCTCTGTGAAGCTAAAAAAAAGCTTCATGAACCAAGTTTCCTTCCAAACGTTCAGGAAAACTAACTGCCTATCAAAGTGAGCAACATAAAAAGCACAGGGGCCGGATTCCATACAAACTTACCTTAAGAAAAAGAGACCAAGAAGCAAAATAACATCTCTACAGAAAATTCACATCAGAAAGACATCCTCGTTTTTAAAAAGGACCATATCCACAACAAACTATTTTTAAAAGAACTAAGAGATATTAAGAAAACGGTAAGAAGTGTAAGAGCAACATAAAAATAGAGATAAAAGAAAAAGTCATCTGAGAAAGACTAAGCATTAGGAACACGGGGATAGTTAAACAGGATAAATAATGCGTCAAGAGACAGAAACTGAGAAGGAAGCTAAGTTTAATAGTAAAAAAATAAAGATGATATAAAGAGTTTGGGAGAAGGTAATAAATATTGCAGATAGGCAAAGGAGAACAAACATATGGATATATGGGAGTCTTGGGGGAAAAAGAAAATGAAAGCAAAAGGAAAAACTTATTTGAGTCGTTAAATAATAAAAATGGCCACAGATGATGACAGAGTAGGGCCATGCTGAGTTGGGGTTCCTATGGATGTTTAGGTGGCGCTGTCCATCAGGCTGCTGGATTCTTGAGTTTGGAGCTTAGGAGGAAGACTTCCCAGGAGAGTATGTGGAATAATCAGCACATGATCACTGAGGCCCAAAAGAAGTGTAGGGAAAAGAGAAGGCAGCCAAGGACACAGGCCATGGAAGGGAAACAAGGCCAAAGAAGAGAAGCACTTGAAGGAATTCAAGAGGAACAGCCAGAAAGGTACAGAGAAAATCAGGAGGGAGCAATGTCACAGACCTGAGGGAATGAGAGAACTTCGATAACAAATGGCAACATCTCCTATGCCGCCAGGGTGCCGAGTGACACATGGACAGAGAAGGTTTGCTGGTGGGGCCACCCAGAGGCAGTCTGTGACCTTAGCTGTGAGGAAACAGTCGGAGGTGTAGACAATGCCCTACCTATTTGGTCATGAAGGGAAGTAGGGAAACGTGGCATCCAGGGAGAGTTATTTCAATATAGGGTTGTGTGAATATATTTACAAGGTTTACAAAGAACTAAAAAAGGCCCCATCTGACTGTCTCTGTTTTCCCAATGAAAGAGGAATGACTATTGGCTACAAAGCTGGGGGAGAAATGGCAAAGTAGGTGGTTAAAGAGAGGGAAGGGCAGCTGATGTGAGGCCAGAGACAGAGAGGTAACTGGGGGCCACTGAGGAGGTGCTGGCAGCCCTGAGGCTCAGCAGACCTAGAGGCCTTGATGGGCAGGGACTCCAGTTCCTTTGGCAGAGATGAGAGGGTCCCACCATCAGCTCTCTGCAGCTTTCAGGTGGGCCTGGGGAAGACAAATGACTGAAATAGCTCAGGCTGGGGTTGAGTTGACCAACAGAAAAACAAGTTCACGCAGGAAAGAGGTACAAGTTGTAGGTTCTGGAAACAGAGGACTGAAAGGAAGAAAAGGTGAGAGAAGAGGAGGATGATGGTAAGTTTCTTCCGTCTCCCTGGGGAAAGCTGGCCCTGACCACAGCGTTGATATACATGAAGTTTATCTCTTGCATCTTCCACTCTCCCACCTCCGAGTGACTCTCACTCCAGGAACCAGGATCTTTGTGTTGCTTTATATCAAACTCCACAACAACATACTGTACCTGTACTTCAAAGGATAGAACAGGGAGACCTTTTGTAAAAAGGACTTGTTAATCCAATTGTCTCTCCAACTGATTGAACTTCAGACAATGTGGAGACAAATGTGGGTGGGAAACAATCCAAGGGCTCTCAGGGGTGCCAAGCATTCAGCATTGGGGACTTGGGCGGAGCAGTTCCTGCACTGCCTTGGGATTCAAAGGGATATTTCTTCAAAGCAAAATGCAGGTTGTGGGTTAGGCCTCCTCCTGTGATACTTGGGGGAAGGGCTGTGTGTGTGGGGGGGGAAGGGCTGTGTGTGTGTGGGGGGAGAAAATGGTTTTTCTTGACTTGCTAAAATTTGATTTCACATTTGTATGGTGCAAGATAAATTAAAATCAAGGATGTTTAATTGCTTTAAACAGATGTGAGTCTCTGGGCTGACAGCTATTTATAGTGGTGAATAGCTGTGAATAACATTTCAGAAATCAATTAATTGGCACTTTCTATTAGTACTATTCTAAGTTCCCTGGGTACAGAATGACAACATTTTCTCAATCCAAATTCAGAACATATGGACTGAAAATAGAAGAAAAATAGAGCTTACTGTGTATCAGGCAATATCCTAAATGCTTTACACATATTAATTTGATTACAATACAACCCTATAAGATAGGTATACTACTATTATTGCCATTTTACAGATGAGGAAATTAAGGCACAGAGAATTGCCCAAGATCACAGAGCTACTAAAGAGAGGGACCAATATTTGAACATAGAAATTTGATATTGAAGTACATGTACTAATAATATGGACATGAATTATAAAAATGCTTAAGTCAATATGAGAGTTTATATGGGTTGAATAATATTCCCCCCAAATTCATGTCCATCTGGAATCTATGACTACAACCCCATTTGGAAATAGGGCCTTTGCAGATGTTATCAAATTAAGATAAATTCATACTGAATTAGGATGGACCCTAATCCAATGCCTGGTGTCCCATAAGAAGAGGGAAAGTTGGGTACAGATACAGACACAGGGAGCACACCAATCAACTGTGGAGGCAGAGACTGGAGCAGTCACTGTGTCTACAAGGAATGCCAAAGCTAGAAGAGGCATTCACCAGACACTGGGGAGAGGCAAGGAGGGGTCCTCCCCTAGAGCCTTCAGAGAGCATGGCCCCATGACACCTTGATTATGGACTTCTAGACTTCAGAGCTGTAAGACAATACATTTTTGTTGTTTTAAGCCATTCAAATTTGTGGTAATTTGTTACGGCAGCCCTAGGAAACTAAAAAGAGTCTCTTGCTTATAATAGGTAACTGACATGGTACCATGAATACACTAGACAGAACTATAAATGCTTGTTCAACCAACCAACATACAACATAATGACATAAAGAAAGTGCTGAACTAGGACCTGGGCTTGTAGCTTTGTCACCCACTAGCTAAGAGTCCTTGGGCAAAGTAAGGCTCTTCAGCCCTTAAGTCTTCTTAGCCAAAAAATAAGAGAGTTGGAAACGGGTTTTGGTTCAGTTTTAACTTTACAAAATTCTAACAGATAGAGTAAAGAGCCAGAGACAGAACGTAAATTTAAAAAATAGCTAAGAATATAATAAAGTAGGCCCTGCATGGTACCAAAGGTATCAGAGAGAGAGAGGAGGAAAGAGAATTAGTTTGCTAGGGTTGCTGTAAAAGGTACCACAAACTGGGTAGCTTAAGCAACAGAAGTTTATTATCTCGTAGTCTCGTAGTTTTGGAGGCCAGAAGTTGGAAATCAAGGTACTGGCAGGGCTGGTTCCTTCCGAGGGCTGTGAGGGAAGGGTGTGCCCCAGGCCTCTCTCCTTGGCTGGCAGATGGCCTTCCTCATGTTCACACAGCATCCGTGCCTCTGAGTCCAAAATCCCCTTTGCAGAAGGACACCAGTCATTTAAACTTGATTACCTCTGTAGAAGTCCCATCCAAATAAGGTCTTATTCGAAAGTACATATGAATTTTAGGGGGACACCATTCAACCCATATCAGAGAGAGACTGGGAGGGCATGCAGTATCTTCTTTGGTACCACCTAGAGCTGACATGTAAAGATGAAGTTCATGTGAAAAAGTAGAAAAGCTCAAGACTTTTCAGTCGTTCACATCCCACTGTATTACCAATAAAGAATTTAACCCTCTGCTGCCTTCTTGAAGGTGTTGGTTGGCCGGCAGCAGCAATTCTAAAGGAGGGCTGTCATATTCCGGGGCGGCCACTGTACCAATCCTGAGACCTCCTTCAACAAGCTTAACTAATTCAACCAATGACTTTTACAAGATTATACAACTGTTACCTGTTTGGGGGTTACAGAGTCATTAATGCTCTGTGTTTTATATTTTTCCAAATCAAAGTCTTTCTAAGTGACTGTTGTAGTGTGTTCTTCGTAAAATACTGTTGTAAGTAAATAAATTTTGCCATAAGCTTTATTTAGCCAGTTGTTGATAGCTAACTAAGAAAACAACAGGTACTGCAATCATATTTACAATAATAGGAGTCACAAGGGTACAAATGTGTGTAAAAGGTTTTCAAATTAAGAGACAATACATAGAATTAGTTTCATAAGCTCAGGGGCTAGTTTTTTACATATGAAATGCAACACAACTCCACTCCATTCCCCCACCCACTGTGTTCCAAAAGTTTACTTGCAAGTAGACTGGAAGGACGGAATCCTTTGCCTAAAGAAACTCTGTTATATCTAGTAACAAATGCCACCTGAGCTGGGCTCCAGCCAGATACCACACAACCTTTGCAGATTTAAGTTTCACAATTCTTTGACAAGGTAAATATTAAAGGCCTACGATCTCTCATCTTAAATCCTGAGGCCAGAACTGTTTGTTTTCAGCATTTTTTATTTTATTTTAGAAAATAATATGGTACATATAGTATATTACAGAAAACCTCTAGTGGGGTCTAGGGCAGATTCAGTTAACAAACAGATGAGAGTTTCTACATCAAAGCATATTAATTTTCACACCAAAGGGGATGAGTTGGGATTCCAAACAGCCTCTAGTTGAGTCAAGTAAGGTTTTGCTGCTCAATCAGTTCAAGTTGGGTAGTTTTTAAAAAAAACAACTGGCTCTCTGAACTTTGTAAATTTCATAATTGTGGCTAACACATGTGTAGCTGTGATTATTCTCATTTTCTAGAGGAGAAATAGGTTGACTAGAGTCAAGAAACTTCCCCAAGGGCAGGCAGCCAGGAGGCAGGATTCAAATCCAGGTATCCCTGGCTGCCAGCCCCTCTCTGCAGCACACCCTACTGCCTTAAAAGGGTCACTGCAGCCCACGACGTGGCTAAACCACAGAAATGACAGCACACTGCAGAATCTCAGCACTGAGTAAAACGGCATTTCTAGAAATATCTGCTCAGGGTTTCGACTCCTGCACTTCACAGCTGTTTCCATCTTCCCAAGTCAAGGAAAGACCCAACTTAGCACACAAGTGGGAAGACTCCAGGAAGGGAGATCTCCACCAGCTTTGAGGCTCAAACAGAGCAAGGCAAGGTGGGGGCCTGGGGATGTGAAAGAAAGGTGGAAGATCAGACTCTGAAGACAGGAGGGAGGAGGGCTCTGAAGGAAATGTGCAAAGTGAGAGAGGGAGGCAGAGCTATCCTAGAGTAGGAGCGGAGCTGGGGGGCTCAAGCAAAGAAGGGCCCGCCACGTTAGATGGGAGGGAAGTGAAGAACTGCAGTAGGCAGGGGTTTGTTGTTTTCTCTCTTTGCAAATAAAAAACAGCACTAGGAGGGGGACAAGAGGACCACAATGGCTTTCTATGCCCTTTCCCTCCACCAAGATGCCCCTGCAGACCTGGCCGTCAGCAGCACTGGGAAGAGAGCGAGCACTGACAGAGCCCCTGTTCTGTGTGGGCATCACGGCAGCATTTCACCTTGACCTCAGTCAGCCCTAACAACCCTTCAGAGCTTCACAGATGGCAACACACAGAGAGGGGAACGAGCCCAAGGTCACTGAGCCAGGAAGTGGTGAGGTGGGAGTCAAACCTAGGTCCGAACCACCCAAAGCCCATGTTCTTTTCAAGGACCAGAAATGGGTGGTGGGTACGGGGTTGGTGGGGTTGGCAAGATTGGGGGTGAGAGCAGTACATCAGGAAATCCAGCAACTATGAGTCAGGATCTGTACCAGGCATTATGGTGACAAGGGAAATGGGGAAACTGGAGGGGGAAAAAATTAATTTAGTCATGAGAAATTCCTGCAGCAGCTGAGAGGTGAGAAACTGACACAAACCTAAAACACTGATGAGGCATATAAATTCAGGCACAAATAAAAAGTAACCCATCATATATACTTACTTCCCAAAGTTCATAGAGCTCTTTTCCAAGATCCTTTGAGAGAAGCTGGGCTAGCTGCTTCATAGCTTCCTGAAATATCAAACCATTATTTTAATCATGTTAACATTTAAACTCATCTATAAAAGCCAAGTGCTGGGCTCAAACTCTCACGCATAACTTCCAAGGGGGGAGCAGAATACTGGACAATATTTATGGCTTACAAGGAGGGCAGTTGTGTACATTAAATAAGAAAATGTATTCATTCACATAGACATCACAGAGCACTTAGTTTGTGGCCTGAAGCACACCACACACAGGAAAGGACAATGAGGAGGGTGTGAGACGATTATAAAAATATCAGAAGTGAAGCTAAAGATTTTACATCTTGTGGGTGAATCGCAAGATGCCCCCACATAAGTTTCAATCATAAGCATACTAAGTTCAACACAAACCTGCGAGTGGAAAGAATAGGAGAGTAACAATTAATTACAAATCTCAATTATATCCATTCTCTATTGTTAATGTTTTTATTGCAAAATGAAAAACAACACACAAGTGGGCAGTTACCGTCATTAACGAAACGTAAAGGAAATTACATGGTAGCATCTTAAAGGCTTACAGATTCACTGGCTGAAAACGGATATTGAAGGGTAATCAGCCAAACCATCCATGACAAGTATCTGAATCCCTCAACAGTGTCACTCAACACTTCCTGTCCTCCCTCCAGAAACATGTCCATGGCGGGGACCTAGTACCTCAAGAGGCTGCCCAAGTGGCTTGTAAGCAGCACTGTCAGAAAGTACTTTTTATATCAAGTTGAAATTGTCCCTGTAGTTCTCCCACTGTGCCGAACCCCTCCTCCTGCTCACAAACACAGTATCAAACAGCCGGGCAGTGACCCAGCTGGGCCAGAATTTCTGCGGCCACAGTGACTGGTGCAAGGAATGGCCATGTTAGTCAAACCAGTTACTCGGGAGCCATCTGAATGATTTGTCCAGCAGAGGCTGGGAGAAAGAAGACAGAAACAGAAGCCTGAGAGAGTCAAAACCCAAAGAAAAGAGAATGAGAGAGCAGAGGGTGTTCCATACTTAATTTTTGTCTCGGAAGTTCCAGGAGCCACCCTCATTCCCATTGCTTCCTTCATTTCTGTGCTGCTCCAGTTTCCTTCTAAAATATCAAATTTGGGGGGCATGAGGTCTGCAAGTTACTCTCAAATGGCTTCAAATTCCTTGACCATCTTCAACCTACACCCCTTAATCTGCTTTGGTTCTAACCAGGGGTTAGGCTCCTTGAAAAGAATACGCTTGTAAGAATCATTTTTGGTAAGTGGTTATATAAAAGTGGCAAAGGTCGTATATAAAATCAAAAAATGAACTGGGATAAAGCAATAAAAATAAATACGATATCTGTGTGTATATTTATTTTTTGCTGGGAGGAAATATGTTACAGAATACAATCTCTTCCAGAGCAAAACATACTTGCTAGTGTCAACAATCTGTTCTTATACATAGTAATATCACCATCTTGAACAGCTTGTAGCATCAAACCACCCTTAGAGGGTACAAAATTTAGATTACTTTGTACTTACATTCTCCCTTGTTTCTGTTTCATAAATCTTGGCAAAATACTTGAGAAAATACTTTGCATTTAAAAAAATTAAAGGTATCTTTATAAATAATTCACATTTCCACTATTTCAGAAACAAAGTTTGCCTATTGCTTTTGTTTGAAAAGAATGAACTGAGTAACATATATGTACAGGCATATCAAAACCTAAACTTTTAGAATACAAACACAGAAGTTCTGCTTTGAAAGAGATTATTTTATTCCATTTAAGGTTATGTACACAGCTCTGAATGGAGTTACTGATGTGTGGTCTGACCAAGGTGGAACAGAATGGAACCTCAGCCTCCTCAAGCTAGACACTGTATTTCTATAAATGTAGCCCAGGGCTGAATCGGCTTTTTGGAGATCATATCCAATTACTGACTTATATAATAAGCTTCCTGTTGACTAAAATCACCATGCTATTAAAAGACATGACAGGTAAACAAGAATATTGTTGCTCTCTTCCTGAAATTAAGCAACGATTTTCTGGATCTAAACTCATAGATATCGTTTGTCACTATACAATCCGAATTGCATTTTGAGGCAGCATTGGCCATAGAATTATGCCCACCTTTTTCAATGAACCCTGGGAAATCGACTCTGCAAAAGTCCAGGTTGCGTGGCTGAAGATGCCAGACTTTCCCTTCCTGATGGTGAGTCCTGCCATTCCCACTTCTATACTTTTTACGCCTTGTTCACACATAAATTTAGAGATAATTTCCCTTGCTTCTTCCTGCTAGCAAAACTTGTCAAGAATCTACCTAAAGTTCCAAGCTGAATGCAGCTTTCAGCAAACATCTTGCATCAGTTTTGTGACAAGCACCCAGAAAGCATTATGCATCACTCACACGTCACTGGTGAGGCTGAACAGTGGCGCCGCTAACTACCAGTTCAGGTGGGGTTTGGAACAGGCTGCCATTTACTAGCTGTGGAACCCTGGGCAGATTACTTAGACTCTTTGCCCTTTGGGTTTCTCATCTGTGAAGTGAGGTTTACCAATGGTACCTACCTGAAAGGATTGTTGTGTGGTTTAAATATATATAAATATATAAAGTGTTTACTACCTGGCACATACTAAGCACTCTATAAAATGTCCACAATATTTCTCATTTTCTCCATCTTGCCATGTTCACTCTCATGATAAAGTTTGGTTCTTCTTTTAACCTCAGTTCTTTAGCAACTTTAACCCTCGCAGATCTATATACACCATGACTCTCCTGCCTGAGTTTTTGCCTTTACAAAGGAATATAACCTGCCATTGATGTGCTCAGCCTCAAGTTCCATCCCACTAGTTCTTGATGACCCCGACCAGATGTCCTCTATCAACCTGGGCTATAGTGCAAAGTATATTTTATCCTGCTCACGAAGGGGGCAGACTACAAGAATTGCTCTTGGCCCCTAATTTTCTCTTCTACACCCCCATCTTCCCTTTCATCCACATTCTTGCTCTCCTTCAAAGCAATCAGCCTTCCAGGCTTATCAAGTACTTTTCCTCCCTCCTCCTGTGGTTTAAAGCCTTCCTGACGCAGTTGGCCAGCCTCTGGGCAAATGATGATTTAATTATCTGAATGCATGGTTCAGACAGTCACATCTGATTCATAAATACCATCTGCATAAAGAATGGTTCGTCTCCCAGATCCTTCCCTCTGTTCCCAAATCCTTGCCAGCGACAGGAAGAAGCAACCCGCAGTATCAGCGCTCTCCAAGCCTCCGGCTTCTTGTCCAAGAACTTGTGGTTCTCTAAGACGCTTCCCTTGTCCCTTCTGATGACAGTGTTCATTCTCCCGTGAATCAGGAGGGGTGGGCGGCAGGCAGGAGGTTTAATGAGGCCGGAAAGGTTTTTCATCACTGCCAGGATACGAGTCCAGGAAGATAGCAACGCTCTCGCTGATGGTTCAGGTCCGCTCTCTGCCCCGCCATGGAGGCCAGGGCTCAGCTCTGGTCAGGGCAGCAGTAGGTCTTCTCTCATCTCCAGTAGTTGAGGATCCTTCCTCTGGACTGTGCTTTTTCTTCCCACGGTTCTGACTTGGTCCTTTAGGGAGTAGGCCTCAAATTCACTGCATACCCACATAGGGACAGTTTGTCTTTTCTTCTTCCTGTGTCACTTTAAAGTCTTTGGTTACCCTCTGGCATTTCAGTATATGATTTCTTGTCGACAACGTCCCCATGTTCTCTTGAATAAAAGTATCATATATCCTGAAACGAGCTGTATAATTGAGGAGGTTTTCCCCCTTCTTTTTGTCTATGTCATACGTCATTACTCAGCATCCTCTGGTTGAGGGCTAATTCCTTTCTGTAACTCCGTGTCTTAACTGGTTTCTTTTTAAATTAATTCTGTCAATCAGCCTAGGAATTTTTTTTTTTTTGAAAAATGCTTTTTTTTTAGATTATTTTTTAAAATTTATTTTTCCGTTATAGCTGACATACAATATTATATTAGTTTCAGGTGTACAACAGTGATTAGACATGCATACACCTTATGAAGTGATCACCCCATGATGACAGTCTAAACTCCTATAGAGAAACATTTCCTTAGCTTCCTCCCTTTCTATGGCTGTCATGATGCTGAGCCTGTATTTGAGACCCGTATTTTGGCAGGATAAATACATTCCTTACACTATTCCTCTTGTTCCCATAATTTAGGATGTGTTGTAACTCCTAAATTGGGATTTCTTGTGAATTTTCTTGCCTATAGAGAGCCAAAAATGCTGTTGGCTACTAAGGTCATCTCCCCTCAGCTCTGAGAACAGCTATTTAAGGCCACCTACCCTGTTTATAAACCATCTTCATAAAGGACCTGCCCACTTATCAACTTAGGATCTCTGGCCTATAGTAAAAGTAGCTTGCAATGACCCCTGAACTGAGAACCAGACATTCAACATTATAAAAACAGCTTCCCAGGATTTTGCAGCCTCTAAATACATCTTCCTCTTTGGCCCTGGCCTCTTTTGAGCCCAAATTGATATTGATTTCATATTTTATAGATGTTCATTTCTTACTAATACAAATATTTATTTTTTTTATACATCTTTATTGATTTCAGAGAGAGGAAGGGAGAGAGAGAGAGAGACAGAAACATCAATGATGAGAGAGTCATTGATCGGCTGCCTTTGGCTGCCTCCTGCATGCCCCCAACTGGGGATCAAGCCCACCACCTGGGCATGTGCCCTGACCAGGAATCGAACCGTGATCTCCTGGATCCTAGGTTGATGCTCAACCGCTAAGCCACACCCGTCCAGGCTAAATTTCTTTACTTCAAACCACTAAATTAAAGGATTAATTTAAAATCCAACAAGTTCCAGCTATTTTCATTGTTGTAATGAAAGCCATGCTATCTATGCCCACTAATACTAATGAGAACGGAAACCAACATAGTTTGCTATCCTTGTGTCAAACAAGGCTGGGAGCAGGCCGGAACCAACTGGCTCTTACTCCAGGGAAATCCTTGCTTCCAGAAGCTTAGACTATAAGCCACCCAAAATAAGAGTAAACACTAATAGCTTACTCTTCAAGAGTGTCTTTAAGATTTTGCCTCACCAATCCCACCAAACCAAGACTACTGTCCTAAACTCTGTGCAGTCTCAACTAGCTGCCTTCTTGTAAGATCCATTTAAACATCTTTCAGCCCAGGCTCTAAAACTCTCTAAGTAGCCTTCCCTGATGTTCCCCTTCCCTTCCTGAAACAATAAGACTCTGTCTAGGTGGTGCACTCCCTTACTCCAATAGGTCTAATAAACTTAGCTTTGCTTCAGCAACAGGTTTTTCTGGTGATCCCCTGTGGAGTCAATAGTCAACACTGACCTCTTCTCGCCTATGTTTTTCTTCTTTGGGGATGTTATCTGCTGGTGCTATGTCCCCCACGATGCATTCTGCCATATCGTGAACCAGGGCTAGGCGTACACATCTGACCAGGCAAGAAATGGTGAGTAATTACACAGAATTATATTCACTACAAACTCCTTCTTTATACTATTTTGAAATTACATAATTTATTTTTCTTTCTCCACCCTCACAGAGTATTTTAATGCAGTATTTTCTAAAATAACTATATTATGCCAGCCTTCAACAGTTCTCAATCAAAACTGCTCTTTAATATTCAACACAATACATGAGAGTGCAGAGGAAATTGTTAGCCTCTATTTCTTTTAGAAATGGATGGATTTTCAAATATCACTTTAAAAGATTGATAACTTCAGATTACAAAGCCAAATGAACTGGTTAAGCACTTACTTACTGACACAAAATTCAGAAACAATCATTCCCCCAATATACTAGTTAGATGGCAAAATGAGGCCCTTTACAGAAAAATGAGTAGAGTTGGACAGATCTGGTTCAAATCCATCAACCAACATTTATCAGCTGTGTGACCTTTGCCAAGTTACTTAATTTCTTTAAGTGCCTCTTTTATCAGTCTTCATCTTATCATCTGTAAAAAGGAGATAATACTTCATAAGGTTGGTATGAAAATCAAATTTGATAATTTATGTTCCTGGCACATGCTGATCATGCAACAAATGGCTATGATTACTAGTGATAATGTTAGTAGTTAAGATAATCACTGTCAAAATAATGAAGGCAGGTCATGAGATAAATGCCACAGAGGGCCAGTCTGTTTCAGGTTCCCACTATTACCAAGGCAGTACAAGGCCTAACCGACTCCTAGTAGGTGTCCCCTTCGCGCCTACAGTCTCTCTCTCATTCAGTTAAAATCTCGGGACTATTCTTAGATTCATCTCCATTCAACACCATGTTCATCTTGCACCAATTGCCAAAAATCTCAGTTCCATCCATCTACAGAGAAACAGGGCTCCTCAATCTCCCTAGTGAAACATTGCTGCAATTAAAGTGATTTACTTATTTCCACAGTATACCTTCACTTTCCTGCCACTGGGGCTTTGGTCTCTATGCCCTTCCCTCTGAGTGCTGTGCCTTCTACTTCGCTACCTAGTCAACCCTTCAGAGCTCAACTCAGATTCTACCCTCTCCATTAAAATCACCCAAGAACAGGTGCTCTCTCCTGTTGGGAGTATGGTGCCAGCTTTCTAACATAACTTATTTTTGAAGCCACTTTGCGCTTCTGTAATTCATCTGGTATTTACTTAATGTCTCACAGTGCTAGGAAACTTGGTCCTATGCTCAAAAAAATATTCTAAACACTGTTGATTGACTGAAAGAAGAGAGAATATGTCTCAGTTATATCTTGCACATACCACTCCAAAAAGTCACCCCACTAAAAGGGGCCAGATAGCGTACTAATACAATGACAGAATGTCAGACATAACATACCCCCTTTGGCCCTGGAAACCTTAATATCACACTTAGGTTTCCTTGAGAACAAGATAGGCTCTTCACTTGCCAAGAGAAAACCTAGAGCGCAATTAACAACTAAAGCAATCAACACAGACAGTTCCCCTCCCCACATCCTGAATCTGTATGGGTTGCCTCAAACAAACTTTCTTGATATATAAACTACCCTACAAGAATTTGACACAGGCCTCAGTCACGAAAAGTGGTGCATAATTACAGAGCAGAGACCATACCTAACAAGCACCAAAGTTCACAGCTTACCGGTCTTTGTTAAGATGATCATCGTTGGTCACCAGAGCCATAACTGCCATCCTGTACATGTGATCTGATACACTCTCCGGCCTCTCGACATTTCTGTACACCCAGCCAGTCCGAGGGACTCTCTGATGAAAATAAAGAGAAAGAAGTTTATAAAAATAAACATTTTAACTATCTGCTATGCTGTTGAACAGGAGTCCAGGGAACAGGGCACAGAAACAGGGTAATTGTTTCAGAACATATTAAAAAGTACTTAGCTAACCAAAATGATCAACACCTGGGATCAAATAAACCAGTGAAGTCAGAGACTGAGAAACAGGTATACGATGCAAAAGTCTAGGAGTCACGCTGCTGTGCTACTGATGTATAAACTTCGGAACACATACAAGTCCTTTAGACATAAAAACAAAAGTTTAAAGTAGCTTATTTTTCATAACTACAAGATCTCAGAAGTTTTGCGTTCCAACAGCCCCATTAGACAGACACAAGCAGAAAACACGGTGACAGCTCTGAACCTGAACAAGTGCCAGCCTTCGGAGCCCGAAGCCCAGGGGACACAGGCCTCTCGGGCGCTTCCTTTTGTTTACACCCAGATGCGGCCCGTGAGGCTGCCCCTCCTCGAGGCCGGCCCTTCCCAAGAACCCGATCAACTGCAGTGACAGCGGCAGGAAATAGGGAATCCTGGAGACTGAACTTGGAGAGATTCAGCAAAACCACTAACGGAGCGGCGGGGGGGCGGGGGCGTCCCGAACGGGAGGCCACTCCGCGCACCACCCAACCCCCTCTGAGAGCAGAAGGCTCCCCATTTCCGCAAGCACCCGCGGGGCAGACACTGAGCACCCCGCCTGCAGC